TTAAGAGACGTGGTTGATATCAGTGTTACTTAAAACATTAGTATTCTCGATAACAATTATCGTGTAACTGCTACGGATATATTACTTTAGAGCTTGATGAAGAAGGTATATTCTTTCTTCCCTAGGAACTCCTGAAGTTGGTAATGGGCATCTTTATTCGATTAAAACGTAAGAAGAACTTAAGCCCCCATAATATTCAATAATAATAAGAAATCATATTTCGTATAAGCTGGTAAGTTTACGAAAAATGCATGCGATTTTTACAGGTGCGGTCAATAAAGTTATAAATTACAATCCTGAAGTATCATAAATTAATACTTTTTGAAAAGTTTAGATTGTTCACTTATTGTACGAGCAATTAGAACAGGTTCTTATAAATGTTAAATTGTAAACCGTTTTCTAATGTCACCATCAAAGTTGGGCGACAACCCGAACTTCGTTACGTTTCCTGCTGATAGTTATGGTCGACCTATGAACAGCGTATATCTGGGTGAGTGCTATGCCGCCACGTGATTAAACGCTATTTCAGGAAGAGAAGGAAATTCTGCACAGCTGCGAAATGGTATAAAATGCAATTATAAATAATACATTATTGGATGTATACTGACAAGATAAATATAAGAAGGAGAATCTATATAGTACTTGAAATGATAGCATACATTTGCAATGTTTAACGCTAACTGTACTGGTCTAAGCATGGAAAATATGATGTTTTCGATGAAGATATAACTATGCTCAAATATTGACGATGTTGCGTTTTTAATCAAAGTAACCAGACTTTGTCAGAACAGCATACGATAATATCACCACTCTCTTTTAATTCTTCTTTATGTTGGTTGAAAGATTATTTGAGCTAGGTTTTGAATTAGTAAAGTAAACTGCTGGCAGCAATCAACAAGATCTGTTGAGTTTAATGAAGTGTTGGAATTCCTGCAGTGATGCTGGTATAAGGAGGAGGTCAGAAGTCTGGTTGATTAGGTTTTTAAATTGTATTCGAGTGTGCGATCTGTTGACTTTGGATACACTGTTACAGAACCTAGGGCCCAGTTACAGAGCTTGTAGTTGGGTTTCCGAAGGAGCGATAGAAAGATAGTTGAACACACATTTGGAAAAAAAAAGAAAAAAAAAGGAATTTTTTCTTCGCTGTTTGTGCCTTTTCTTATGACTCATTATGGGAATATTTCGTTCATTTAAAAAGTCCAAGGACCCAGCGACAGTAAAGTTATTAGACAAATTCCTGCGTTTCTCTGTCAAGCTTGGTGAAGTCAACACGGAGCTTAATTTTCTTAAACGATGCATCGATAAGCATGAGTATCCAAAACATTACTGGAAGAATCTCCGCCGGAATCATATTTACCCTAACTCAAAGACACTAAAACGTCACACACTGAATCACATCGACGCCATCCGCTCACGCATACCCGAACTTGAGCGAAACATATCACAAAGAACCCATGCTTTATATGAACTATCTGATGATGAACGACAAACATTCCAGGATTACGTATCTAGTGTCATACAAAAGCGCTGTGACGATACTACTTCACGACTAACAAAAAGCTTGAAACCATCTGAAACTTTTTCGACGTTTCCACAGAATCCGGAGAAATATGTATTCAATTTCTCGAATTTTCCTCTGACTCCTGTTCAAATGCAAGTCCTATCACTTGGCCCAAAATTTTGCCATGTATCGAGTAAAACCAACGAATTACATACTAAAGTGCAGTTTGAGAATTTAATGTCACAGACATCCGATTTGTCACCGACTTCCGAAAAAGACCTAGATCAATTCAAAGCTTCAATTCTTGACAGCTGTTACAAGTACATTCGTACGCAACCGAGCCACCGTTACCTACTAACCAAAGAACACAGAAGACAACTTAAACAACTTCAAGAAAATAAGGACATAATCCTTGTCCGTCCTGATAAGGGCAGTGGGATTGTAGTGATGAATAGATCCGATTATAATGAGAAATTGACAAATATACTATCAGACAAAACCAAATTCTTTGAATCACCCAACCAAAAAGACAACCGAAAGAACAGAAAACCTACTCACAAAATTGCTAAAAAGAATGAAAGAAGATTCAGTCATAACACAGGAGGTTTATGAGCAAATAAAACCATGTAGTTCAACTATTCCAAGACTGTATGGACTGCCGAAAGTGCATAAAGAAAATGTTCCACTTCGACCGGTCATAGACATGGTTAACTCACCGTATCACCAAATCGCGAAGTGGCTAGCTGATATCCTCGAACCAGTTAAAAGACATATGACAAAATATAGCCTCAAAGATACATTTGACTTCATCGACTCAATGAAGGATGTCAACGTGTATGAAAGACAAATGATCTCACTAGATGTCGCCTCCCTATTCACAAGTATCCCCCTGACTGAGACAATATGCAACATTTGTAATTACATAGAAACCAACAACATAGAAGTTCCCCTCCCCATAAACTACCTGAAGGAACTTCTTCTCAGATGCACGTTCAATGTCCAGTTCAAATTCAATGAACAGTTCTATGTACAGAAAGATGGAGTAGCCATGGGGTCTCCTCTCGGTCCACTCCTAGCTGACTGTTTCATGGCGAGTCTTGAAAACAACACCCTTGATCCCTTAATAAGTCAACTGAACTTATACAAGAGATATGTAGATGATACATTTATAATCTGCGATGAAAAATGTGATATAGATTCTCTCCTGAAAACCTTCAACGCAGCGCATCCATCAATAAGATTCACCTTAGAACGCGAATCGAACAACGCATTTCCATTCCTCGATGTATTACTCACCAGAAGAGACGACTGTACGATCCAAAGATCGATATACCGGAAACCAACATGGACTGGACAGTTTATCAACTTCCAGAGCTTTGTCCCACTGACCCGAAAGAGAAACTTGGTACGTACATTGTGCTCAAGGATTAGAAAAATCTGCTCGGAAGACACGGTGGAGAAAGAATTAAATTTATTGCGTGAAACCCTACTAGAGAATGGGTATCCGCCAAGATTCATCGACAAAAACATGAAGGAGAAGCCCCCGGTGCCAAATATCACAACGGTTCCTAAGAAGACTCTCTTCATGAACCTAGAATTCAAAGGTGACATCGCAGCGGAAATCCTCAGAAGCCGCCTTTCAAAAAGTCTGAAGAAGACATTCCCAACAGCCACTCTACATATAACATTCTCCTGCAGACAGTTAATCCAGTCTAACGTTAAGGACAAGATACCGCCTTTGGCCACTTCAATGTGTATTTATCAATTCACTTGCTCGTGTGGAGCAAAGTATATCGGCCGTACGCAACGTCAAGTCCACAAACGTATCCTGGAACACTGCCCAGCTTGGTTAGCCAGAGGAGAAAAGAAGAATACCAACAGCTCAATCCTCGAACACCTTGTTATCTCCGGACATCGAGCACCCCCACACGAAAGCTTCACAGTGGTACACAGAGTCCCTCAATATCGTACAAAAGGACTCCGGATACGACATCTGTACATAGCCGAGGCACTAGCTATTCGTGACATAAAACCGGACCTATGCATACAAAAACGATACATACATTCTCTAGCCCTACCATGGCCAGAGTAAATTTCTAACTATAATTTTTCTCCTCTCTTTTAATACGTAAGTTCACTGTTATTATTATTATTATTATTACTGTTCTTAATACTTTTATTATTATTACTATTCCCACCATCCATATTTTATTACTACTCTATGACTGTTTATTAATAACATTGCTTTTTCACACAGATCTTATACAAAACTACTGTATATCCTTTCCATTAGTTCCTGTCCACTCTACACTAGCTTATTGATTAGTCATTATCTCACACTTATTAAGTCATGCCAACTTCTGTCTCCTTTCTAACTTACAATTAGTCATCCCTTCTTACACCTCACACTATGTAGCAGAATTTTCAAGGACAAAGTTTACCAGTATCTGATTGGTCAAAAACTTATGTGTTTAATTATAATTACGATTGTACAGCTCATGAAAATGAATCGTCGAAAAGAAAATTTTCTTCGCTGTTTGTGCCTTTTCTTATGACACACATTTTTATTGGGATCAGTCGGAAATCGACTTTCTGCTACTACCTGCTTGAGGCCGTCAAAATGTTTGAGACCGATGAATCCGCACTTTGCATCCAATAAGCGTGTTCGACACCACTCATTGGTGCGTAAACAAGTTCTCTGGCTAGGACAAAACATAAGAGCGCCAAGTGTTGAGAAGAAGAAAACCGCAGTACAGCCAAATAGACGTAACGGCGTAATACCACATAAGTAGGCATCCTGTCCAACAAGGATCAACAAGTTCTAGCGCCGAAGTGCAAATAGATACAACTTGCAGCAAGTCTCCCCTGCAGCTGTAACTATTTGCACTTTGGCGCTAGAACTTGTTGATCCTTGTTGGACAGGATGCCTACTTATGTGGTATTACGCCGTTACGTCTATTTGGCTGTACTGCGGTTTTCTACTCTTGAACCCCTCTGCCTTTTCCATCCCGTCTTACTTCTGTCTATCGAAGAGAGACCTGTGTGGAAGCCTCTGGGTGACATTCGTAGCTCATGTCGAAGACACCGGGGCTGCTGTTTCCAGATGACGACACTCAATGGATAATGATCTCCATTGTGTAGAAACACACGCCGCCGAACCTCAGTATTACTCACGCGATGATACCATCGAATGCAAGCAATTCTGGGGAGACAGCGATGATCAAACACGCAGAGTCGCCGGACATCCTCAGCCTACTCGGTGAGGCCAGGTTTCACAGGCCTGGCGTAGAGCAAGACAGCCCACACCGAAGCATTGTATACCCGACCTTTGGTAGCCAGGCTAACATCGCGACGGCACCAGAGGTGGCTGAAGTTGATGTATGCCACCCTAGCCTTCATTATACGGTTGGAAATCTCATCCGTCACCCGTCCGCCAGCACTCACACAACTACCCAGATACACAAACTTATCAACAACTTCAAGCGGTTCACCCGCAAGAATGAGTGTAGGTATAGGCTCCTTGCCAATCCAGTTGTTCTCTAATTGTGTAGTCAGTTCGCGATTAATCTTGAAATCGATCAAATTCCTGCAAATTTACACTTGAGGTATGAAATAATAAAAACTAGAGTAAGAGTTTTATGCATTTTGCCGGATGGCGCTGGCCCCGAGATTTTGATGAAGCAGGACTCCTGAAGTAATTCATCTATGCTATTATGGTATTCATTTAATATATTCTTTTTTGGGCCAAAATATTTTATTCAGTTATATTTGTTAGAAAAATCCCTCGATGTTGTACAAATACCATGTACTACTTGATTGTCTTGTTGTGTTGTTGTTGCTTTTTTTGTGAAGATTTTTATTGTTGTCTAAAACAAAAACACTGAGAGTTGTTGCAGCACGGAAACACAGAGCTCTGTATGTATTAAAAAAGGTTTTTTTCTTCTCTGTATCAGGCCAGATACACTCAAGCTTAATATATACGCTTAATAATGCTTTTTATTTACGAATAACGCTGACAGAAATCTGCATTCTTCTCCTTTGTGCTATCCAGTGTTCTCCATAAACCTTTCTATGCTTCCACTATTATATATATACATATATATAGCGCCATTATTATTTGCTCTCTGTTTGTTACTTTTTTTGTAGTTCTTTTATCAGAAAGCTGATGAATTGGATACCTGGGAAAAACAACTGAAGCGTCTCTACTCATCTCTTCTGGCGTTGGTATCTGGAGATAATGGTAGGCAGGCAGCTTTATACCCCTTATAGCCTTTTTCAATGCTTTCGTTATTGAAAATCATTTTTAGTTTCTGGTCCTATTGACTGACTGATTTTCAACGTGGAACTTTGCAGAGAAATGCAGCGGTTCAAATTGTGTAAGTATAAGATGCTGCTACGGGACTAGACTACGTCAACTCCTAGCTTAGTGATAGGGAGTGAAGTGATAGAACATGTTGACCACTTCACCTATTTGGGAAGTTGTATCAGCACCAACGGACTGATTGGTGACGAGATCTCAGCACGGATCCAAAATGCTCGAGCTGCTTTGGCTGACTTACGCCATCTCTGGCGTAGGCGTGACATCCAGCTATCAACCAAGGGACGCGTGTACTGCACTGCAGCAGTTCGTTTCGTCCTTCTCTATGGCTCTGAAACATGGCCAATACGAGTTGAAGACATGAAAAGGTTGACTGCTTTCGATCATAGATGTCTGCGATCTCTTTCTCACGTTAGGTGGTATAATAAGGTAAGTAATGTTGACGTTAGGCGTAGAGTGTTGGGCAAAGAGGGAAAATCAATCGACGAGGCTATAAAGTTACATAGACGGCATAGAGATGGCTAGGTCACGTGTTGCGCATGCCTGCCTAATCATCGCCTCCCCCGACGGGCATTACTAGCTGATAAAGGTGCAGGTTGGAAAAGAGTAAGTGGTGACCAAACAAAAACATGGCCTCATCAATCCATGAAATCCTTGACAGTTAAACTGAGTCAGGTAGGGTAGGAGATGCAGAATTCCGGGTTGGGGCCCTCGGGACTGACTCTAGGAATCAATGGCAGGAGACAATAGGTGTCATGGCTCAAAATCGTTGTCAATGGCCGGCACAGATGTATTCAATCTCTGTAATCTTTCATATTCCTTTCTACCATTACCCATTCTGTTTCACTCTTATACTTGTGAAAATCCATTGATTCTCTTCACTCATCTTCTTGTCTACCTCTGTGTGATATTTGGAACGTGGCGACTCGAACTGGTGCACTTCGGTGGGAAGTTCTATATTGAATCCAGACAGACAGACTTTATAGCACATAGAGGTAGGGAAAAACTTCAAAAGAAATGTAATCAGCAAAAATGTACAGAAGAAAGAACATGGAAAAACATGAGAACTTAATGGATATGGAAGGTTACAGAGAGCGGACGTATCTGCACCGTTGAGAATGATCCTGAGCTGTATCACCAATAGTATCAAGCTGTTGGTCCTTAGCATCCTGAGAACCCCAACCATGCAGTCTACACCTCTCTACGTGGCTTGCTAAAACTAACAGTAATGACCTTCAAGGTTCATTTCCAACCTAATCCTATGTTAGGTAACATTGCTCGTCGAGGAAGGTGATGGCTCGGAATGAGCAGTATGTGTCCTAACCATCTCAATTCATTTATCGACTTAAGCTGGATATTATTCGCCCCCCCTCCCTATTACACCATTTAAGAGAGATAGTAGACAAACGCCTGTGGTTTTCTACTTTCAATAGCCACACTCCTCATAATCATAGAGAAGAACAAAGTGAGCTGTTTCTCAGTACACACGTGCTTTAATCGATAGCCCATAGTATCGTTTACCGACTCTAAGTGTAGTAGGGACATTGACATCAGAATCTGTTTTCAATTTATAAGGTCATCCTTGGTCGTCTGATGATAACGTCAACCTTTTCAGTGATTTTTGTATAGGCGAAAGATTAAGAAGACAAAAGTTTATAATGTAATTTCTGTAAATGAGTTGGCCATTTGAAATTTTAGGCGTATATATTGTAATTAATAGTCGTTAAACTACAAAGCCAGAATCGGAAAGGCAGGAACCAGTTCGGAAGTCAGAATAAGGCACATGATTCTAATTTTCAACACAAACCTGAAGTCAGTCAATTCTTCTATACTGGACAGAAACTTGCACTGCGTGTCAGTCGCGGAAAGCATTTCCGACAAGTTACAGACTTTCATCAACAGTTGCCCACTTCGCTTGCTCCATACCGAAGATCAGATGGCTAGCCAGCCAAAAAATGAATTAGTAACAAGGAACTCTGTAGTGGAGCAAATCAACCAAGAGCCTATTGCCCAACAGATATGTAGGAGAAAATAGAGATAGTTTGGACACATACTGAAGACACCGTCGAATGACATTGCGCTCAATGTGCAGGCCATTGTTCGAGTGAAACCCGAAGAAGAAGTGACGAGTGGGTGGTGTGTGTGTGTGTGAGGGTGACATGGAGGATATCGTGTTAGGAGGAGAAGGAGGAGGAAATGAGAGATTATAGTCAGTCGTGGGGCTAACCAGTTGAAGAGGACAGCAGAAGATAGCAGAAAGTGGAGGTGTGTTGTTATTGAAGTCCTATGTCCCACTCAGAACCCAAGGGAATGATAAATAAAACTGAGATGCTCACTGGCGACTGGCCCTATACAGGTAGGTAGTTACCAGGGGTTCCAGTGGGAAGTCGTCGTGATCAATAGGGTGCAGCAGGTCGGGTGTGAGGACAAATACTCGCCGAAGACATTGGCTAGCGGTTGCACTATATCGTGAATTGGCAGAAGTTAGAATTCATGAGCTGACCATTGGATTGGGTCCCAGTGGCTTAATGATATACGAGCTCTCTAGCCTTGTAACCAGAAGGTCTTGGATTTGAACCCCGCAGTGTGGGTGCGTACTGCTGAAGAGTCCCAGTGGTTTTCTAACCAATGTCAGCTCATGATGAAGTCCTGTAACCCACCAACCAAATCCCTACAAACCAGTACTTGTAAACTACTTTTTTGTTAGTTTATTTTCTTAAGATATTCTTTAAAATAACTTCATGAAGGAAATTACTCATGTCATTTTATAACATGTATCATTTCATCTATATTACTTAGATGGAATAACTAACAACAACAACAACAACAAGTGCGTTAATCACATCATAAATGTCTTATAAAAGAAATAATTGATTTATTTTATCCTGTCTTCTGGACACAAAATACATGTATGTGGTCTGTTGATTGATCCCAACAACCAACTTTCAGTTAAGAAGTTAGTAAGTCACAGATTCACAGATCGACCTGTCTACCAAGATTATAGCGAACAATGGGTGTGGTTGGTTGGTTAGGTAGGTAGGTAGGTAGGTATATTCAGTAAACAGGTGTGTGTACGTGATTGTTAAGTTGGACTCATAGTTTCAGAAAATGAAATGAAATGAAAGTAACAATTAGAATGTCTGTAACAGTGGAGAGAGCTGTTTTCACATTTTTTATCTTATGCGGAAGTGACACTTGTTTCTCAAGAAATAAAGTTATATATAATAGGAATCGAACTGAAAATACCTACTAAATTATGAGTATGCGAATGGGTCACGATTAGTAAGACCCATCAAGTGGGGGGTGTGAAGACGTATACTTGCCGATGACATTGGCTTTCAGTGACACTAGAAGCCATGAATTAATAGAAGTTAGAATCGGCGAACAGTTGGATTTCATCCCAGTGTCTAAATGTAATCAAACAGCTCGGCGCCTTGTAACTGGAAGGTCCTGGATTCGATCCCTGGTGGGGTCATGTGTGCGTACCAACGAGAAGTCAGTCCCAAACTAGGGTGAAGCAACTGTCCAGTACTGTCTGGTTTTCAGTAGTTTTCTACCTGAAGTCATTTCGTGACCAAACGTGCTACGTATAAAATCCTGATATTTGAAAATACAGAACTGCTGAAGAAGTAAGATATATACCTCAGTATTGTTTATATTTTAAGAGGATGATGTACCGTTATAATTGTGAAATATAAAATATTTATAATTTATTTTTAGACTTAGCAAACGCTAAGGTTGGTTTATCCCGTTCAATTCTTCTTTTGGCCAATGTGGATGAAAATACCGGTTTAGCTCAAGCACTTCATCAGTTAGCCGACACAGAAGGACATGTTGCAGAGCTGCATGCTTTACAGGCGGAAGCGCACACGTGTCATTTAGCGGAGTATACGAAAGAAGTGTTGGGTATGGTTCAAGCGTGTAAAGTGAGTCCTGCTTTTGACTTTATATATATATATATATATATATATATATATATATATTATGCCTGACATATACATTTGAACTTTATTTCCGAAAAACCATTTAACAACAGTTCTTCTTACTGGAATTCTTTATCATTGGTAGAACCCAGTTACCTGGAACAAATTTCTTATGTATCTTATGTATTTCTGGACGGGTTGCAGGTGATGGTCGGTTCAATAGTCCTTTGAAGTGATCCGCCCATTGTTTAATCTGTTTTTCTTCCTTGTTAGTTGGGTTCCCTTGGCTGTCTTTTATAGGTTTCGCTTGTGTTGATCTCTTCCCGGATAGAGATTTGGTTATCTGATATAGTATCCTCAGGTCCCTTTTGCCTGCTGCCTTCTCAGCTTCAGTGGCCAGGTTGTCGTAGAATCGTTTTTTGTCCTTCCTAGTACTCTTCTTCACTTCTTTGTCCAGTGCTTTGTAAGTTGAGCTCATCGTCTCTTTCTCCTGTCCGTCCTTGTATTGAATCATTTTCTCTTTCACCATTCTCCTCTCTTCTATTAATTTCCAAGTGTCCGTTGAGAGCCATTCCTTGTCTTGTCTCTTCTTTCTTTCTAGAACCGTTGAACACGTTTCGTTGAGAATCGCCTTCAGAGACTTCCAGTGGTCTTCCACGCATGATTCTTCAGTGATGTCGCGTAGTGTTTCCTGCTTTGCTCTGACAGTTGCAGTGAAAGTGTCTTTTGTGGTTGTGTCCTTCAGTAATTGAGTGTTGAACTTGCATTGTGGCCTATCCCCAGCTATCCTCGAGGCCTTTAGTTTCACCTTGAAAGTACCTTGTACTAGATAGTGGTCTGAACCCACATCTGCTCCTCTCCTTGACCTTATGTCCAGTAGGCTCCGTCTCCACTTTCTTGAAATTGAGATGAAGTCTATTTGGTTCTTGGTGTTTCCATCTGGTGAAATCCATGTCGTCTTGTGTATATCCTTGTGTTTGAACACACTACCACCAATCACCAAATCATTGAAGGCGCAGAAGTCTAAGAAGAGTTCACCATTGTCGTTCATTTCACCGAGGGCCTCACGACCCATGGTGAGTTCTCTTCCTGTGTTGTCTCGTCCCAGCTTCGCATTCATGTCGCCCATCAGGATTTTGATGTCGCCATTTGGGACGTTGTCCATTATTGCTTGTAGTTGTCTGTAGAACGCCTCCCTCTTCTCTTGTTCTGAGACGTTTGTAGGCGCATAGCATTGGATGATTGTAAGCTTCCTTCCTTTTGAGTTGAACCTGGCTGTCATTATCCTGGAGGAGATCAGTTCCCACTGCATGAGAGCTTTGGTTGCTATTGGTGATATCATGATGGCCACTCCCTCGGTGTGCTCATGGTTGTTCTCTGGGTGGCCGGAAGGGATTACTGTCTCTCCAGTAGGTAGTTGGCACCTTCCAGTTGCGTTCCATCTGCTTTCTCAGATTCCCAACACTTCTATTCTGTACCTTCTCATTTCAGCGGCTACCTGGGCAGCCTTTCCAGTTTCGTACATTGTACGAACATTCCAGGTACCCATCCTTACTTTTGCTTTCATCGAAAGAACGAAGGCACATCGGCTGACTGGCTTCCCGAAGGCTAGCTTTCACCAGCCTGCGCCATTTCACTTCCCCGATTCCAGCGAAAAGTAAGGCTATTGCTTATGTTTTTAGAGTTTTGAATATATTTATTCGTTGAAGTTTCTGTAGCGATTTGGTTGTTTTACAGGGGTGGAGTCGCTAGCACCACGCCCCAACCCTCCCTCTTTACCCGGGCTTGGGACCGGCTAGAAAGCTAGTAAGCTAGTAGCCAAGCAAGCTAGTATCTGGCGAGGTTAGGCAGGACGAGAAGTCAATATGAAAGGTTATATGCTCGAACCACTGAGTACAGAAATTCTACAATACCCTATTTAGCCCGTATTTTAATGTGATGAAGACTCTGTTAGACATGAAACACATAAGTTACTATGTAATTAGCAAAGTGAATCGACCCTTTTATTGCTCATCTTTCTGTAATTTTATGATGTCACACTTTCTATTTTTTAATTATAACTGCTATATTATTTTAGTTGTTATTACTATTATTATTACAATTTTATACTTTACGCATATTTTTCTCCTTACTGCATACAGTAATTTGCTACGTAGCCGCTATAATAACGTTTTGTTATTATTATTATTATTATTATGTAGTGTTTATTTTTTTGTCGTTTTGAGTAAATTAGATGCAATACTGTACTGAATGCTGAAAATTCCTTGCTGTATCATTAGTACTGTTTTTGGAATAAAGCAAATTATTATTATAAAAGCAGGAATGTGACTACATTGCTATGGACAAAGTTGCGTTGAGGAGAACAGTCGAATTAAAAAGTAATGAAGAAAAACAGATGGCCAGAAAAGATTAGCAACGAGGAAACGAACCAAGCAACAACCTATTGCCCAAAGAATATTCCGAAGGAAATGAACATGGATAGGGCACACACTGAGAGGACAGCAATGAAGGCCCTCTAGCGGAACCCGAACGGGAAACGACGAGTTGCGCGTTGGTCCGACAAGGACATGAAATAGGTCGTGTGAGGAGATGACATCTTAGAGGCAGTCTTGAAGCCATTTAAACAAGACTACAGAAAAAAGGATGAAATGGACTTATGCTGTTGAAGCCCTATTTTCTACCTGGAACTTAAAAAGTTAGTAATAGTGATAAAATCGCAGAAGTTTATAACTCCGTAGATAATAAAGACTCAATGCATGTTTCCCATCGTGGATAACATCACATTATAATAAAAATCTCGATAATTAATTCTTAATGCTTGAAAGATTTCAACCTGGTTAATTATTACACTCTTAAACTATTTATTTTACCTTCTTTCCTCTAGAAGAGTGAGTGTCGTAGTCCTGTGGTGCCAATTCACACAAGCAAAAGATGTGTCAGAATATTCAGACAATTTGTTCACAAGCTTCAATGGTGTTTGTCGTTGGTTTCATCCAGAAAAAATATGCAGTTGGCTTATTTCTATTCTCCGTAACAATTAAATTCATGAGACCCTGACATCCACATGAATCATCTTCACCAGTAGGATCTTCAAAAGCACTTTACTAGAATTATCAAGTGCCTGAAACCTGATTTATGCGTCCAGAAAGAAGCGGTTACCAGCCTTTCCTTGCCGTGTCTAGTAATTGGATATTTTCGCCTCTCTTTCCTCCGAATGTGAAATGCTAAAAGTTTCCATTGTGTTTGATTATTATTGTTGTTCGGAATAGTGGTTAATATTGCATATTTATATATGTATATATTTTTAGTGTATGAGTATATTGATCGATTGATTTTTGTTTAAACTGAACTCTGTACAAGTACGTTAAAATTGTTTTTGTGGATATATTTATTAATGTCTTTGCCATGTAAGCAGCTGACAAGAAGGCAACGAAATAAAAGATGACATGACTTTATTCTGCTACAACTTTAGTTCTTGCTTTGTTCAAATTCATTAAGGGGAATAAATGTATGAAATTATCAAGACAACTGTTACATTTGGTTTGTTTTGAGGAATCTCCGATGCAGTATAACCGATTTTTCTCATCTTTATCTGAAAGATCAGTGTCAGTTACTTGTTAATGCGTGTAAAATAATATTCTTTAAACTGGCTGAATACAAATGGACCCAGAGATAAACGGTCGTAATTACCATCTTATGTGTAAGCTTTCATGGATTACGCCAGCAGATTTAATTGCCATTGTTCAGATTATAAGCCAAAAAAAAATATTTAGAAGCTAACTGGTGGATGGTAACTAGCAGTGGCATCCAGGATGCGCACCTCGTCCCATTTTTGATTCATCAACTAGATGTACCTGCATTCCGCAGTCAGTGATGACGTTTCCACCGAGGTTCAAGCCAACATGTCAACCTGCGACCGAGTACTTCGGTCCAATCAATCGATAGAAAAATTTAAGATTGATTTAAACAAAAAAAATATTTAGTTGGAGGATTTCATCATGAGCTGACATCAGTTAGAGAACCATCGGAAAACCTGCAGGTAGTAATGGACAGTCAGCTGTTTCATCTTAGTTTGAGACTCCAATTCAGCAGTACGTGCGCACCGCCGGGGTTCAAACCCATGACCTTCTGGTTGCCAGCCGGGCTTGTGGACAATTAAATCAGTGGGACCCACCCGATCCAATGGCCAGTCCATAAATTATAACTTCTGCCAATTCACAACATAGCGTGACCATTTCACAATGTCTTCTTCAATGACCTACTGCCCCGCCTTTAACCAACTACACCCTACTGGTCATGGCTTCCCACTAGAACCCGAGGTTAACCACCTGAATAGGACCAGTCGCTAGTGAGTGTGGGTGCGTAGTGATGAAGAATCTCAAATTAGGAAGAAACAGCTGTCCAGTACTCCCAGGTTTTCCAACTGTACTCTAACCAACGCCAGCTCATAATGAAATCTTGTAACCAATCAATTAAATCCCTACAAACCAATACTTGAATATGAGTTTATTTTATTCTATTAAAAGTATAGTCTCTAGTGGTAGTCTCTACTCTCACAACTAATCAAAATACCTACAACCTACTGATTCACAAGTTTCTAACAAACTTGAGTAGAAGCAATATCATCACTGACAACGTATCACAACACATGAGATGACTCTTCTTGATATTCTTCGTGTAAACTGCCACTGCTTGAGAAATGAAACGAATTACCCGTAGTCTTCAATTATCCAGACATTACTGTGTCCTTCGGTCGCAAAATGTACTCCTACACCTTATATAATTATCTTTCCACCAAATGTTGTACATTTCTCGAAGAAGGGAGACAAAGAAGAAGTGTCCTAATGGACTGGTTTGAGTTTCAGTCAGACAACAATATGTCAATGGGTTTACTGTCAATTGCTATTTTACTTGAAGATGTTGGACGAAGAGGAAGTATTATGCAATGGATCTCCCTTTAAGACTCTGTATATTATCCATATAAACTGTTCACAATAAAGCTATTGTTGTTGTTATTATTATTACTATGATATGTCCTACATCTCAGGTTGTATGCAACTGATAAAATCCTTATAAGGGAAAAAAATGAAATCCCATCCTGCTAAACTTATTCTCATTGCTTCAATCAAGTTTATCAAGGCAGATAATTGCATGAAGTATATTCATTCATTTGTCATTATTTCTGTTATCTGTCGTTTTGAATATACGAGATATCTTCAGAGTGATGTTTAGTTTTAATTGCAGCTCAATTCTGAGTTGTGTTGTTTTTTCGCTTTCTCTCTTTCTTTCTTTCTTTCTTCATTTATTCTGATATTCTCCTTATTGCAGAGTGTCCTATTTATCACTGATATCATCATTGGAATTAGTATTATTATATAATATTACTACCATTATTATTATTATTACCATTATTATCTAATGCTCACAGATATACTATGGACGATTATCTCATTCTCTTCATCTTACAGATATTTCAGTTTATTTTGATTCTGTTTAACTTCTTAGTTTTCATGTGATCCTTATGTGAACTTTATCAATAAGTGTATTCATGATTAGAAGGGAATATGATCAAGTTAAACTTTAGGCACCAATAACTACCAATTGGGGGTGTTACCGCACTGATGATCTTGAAACACTCACTGGGCAAATTAGTGAAACCTGGCAAATAATGTTTTCATCATCAATCAGTAAAATAATGCTCATCGAAGTGTTATTGTCATTAAATGGGATATCTGGAAAGTTTCAGGTTAAGTTTGAGAAAGATTAAGTCACAGTTTAAGCTAAGGAGAGGTTAGGGTTAGGTTAATTTAATAAGGCCGACTTTAGGGTGGATTGGATTTAGATTACAGTTAGTTTAGGGATATTTTCACGTTACGGTTGAGTTCAGGAAAGATTAGAGTTATTGTTAGGGTTAGAAGACCTAAATAATTAATTACATGCACAGAATGTGGTTAAATTACTCTGTTTATATAAGAATAGTACTTCTGCACTGTGGTAGGGTATAATTCCATTGTGAGTAAAATTTATTTTGATAAAGTCTCACGGTTTTATACAGTAATATTTACTGGTGACCACGTTTCGAGCACCATTTATTGCTCCGTAAATATTACTGTATAACACCATGAGACTTTATCAAAATAATTTTTACTCACAATGGAATTATACTCTGTTGATACTCCAACCTCAAAACTGTGGGCTATTATCATCACATTTAAGAGGAAGGTATCCTCTGTAGTACGTTTTATACAGTTTTTATGCATTATTTCATAAATATATATATATTCTATAAACAGAAATGCCTCCTTGACGTGATTGGTGCGTTCGAGGTCATTTGCTGACTGATACTTAATGATGCTTAAAGTTTAACTTATTCATTCATTCACTATAATGTATATATAACAGTAGAGCCTGATGATGAATTTATCGAAAAGAGTACTCTTTGTTCAGTATCCATTCTTTTAAATTTATTTTTCAACGACAGCAAATTCACAAGCGAAGAGGAATCCGAGAACAAAATCCCATTTGTGGACGTCTTAGTCAAGCGAACAACCACAGGGGGATTAGAAACTCAAATTTATAGAAAATCATCTCACACACACACACCAAATACTCAATCACAACAGCAACAGTCCAATAAAGCACAATAGGAATTGTATACAAACACTATTCAAGAGGTCCAGAACTCATTCCAACACTCCCAAATTAAGGAAAAAAGGAGAAAGATATCTCATGAACGTCTTCCAAAAGAATGGATATCCACAGAATTTCATCAAAAGACATATACTTTCAAGCCAATCTACCAAATCAAAAGTTCAACCAAGAAAATCGTCCTACCATATATAAATGACATCTCAGAAATCACTACAAGACTCTTCAAACTTTTATAAATTGATGCCATACAAAAACCAACAAAATCACTTCACTGAGTTCTGTGTCAACCGAAAGACTCAACAGTGAAAGAAGATAAAGCCAACATCATCTACAAAATAATTTGTAACGACTGCAAAAGTGGACTTCCCCTTCGCCTTCGTACCCATGAACATAAACTATTTGTCAAAAAAAATGACATCTACTCGCTAATATCGCTGCATACCAATAACCATGGACATAAAGTTGACTGGGATAACCAACGTTCAAATATTAGACAGAGGAAACACCAAGAATGCTAGGGAATTTTTAGAAGCCTGGTATTCCAGTGAGTCGTCGATCAGTAGACACATCGAGATAGATAAAATTTACCAATCGATAAGAAGGAAATCTAACACACAAAGGGTCAAAGTTCAAGTAAACGAAACAATCAGTTCCAATAAAAGTAACCCAGAGAGTGTGAAACACGCGAAAACAATCAATCACGTTCAAGGTCACCAGGAGAGATGAATAATAAACACGTGTAGAAATCGAAAAGCTCACTTCAATGCGAATTGAAGTATGGCTGAAGATGTTGCCTAGTAGGGAGGGGGCAATGAAAGCTTGGCAAATTAACTATCCAGCTCAGAGAACAAAACTACAACGAAATCATCCACCTGAACTACAAATCTCTTCCATCACATCTAATTTTATTTTTATTAGTAATCACTTTCAAAACTTCGTTTTCAAGATTTAGATTGTAGGAATTTAATTTTTTAAAGCTTGATCAGGGACTGATATCAACTGGTGAGAGAACTACCGAAAACTAGAGAGCATTACTAGACATTTAATTCGTCCTAGTTTGGGACACTTCATCTGTACTCATCCACTGCCGGGTTTTGAACTCACAACTTTCAGATTACAAGGCAAGCTCGTAGAGCATTCTGCTACTCGCTACTGACTGACTACAGGACAAAGTTCCTTGACATTCTAGTTAGAAATCGTGATCAATGGGTTCCACCAGGTCGAAGGTGGCCGTGCTAAAATCACAAATTCGTAGGAGCTGAAATTCAAGAGCCACTGGATAGAATTCTGGCGACTAAATGGTCCACGAGCTTGCTTTTTAACCTGAGTGTTCTGGATTCGATATCCAGACAGCGACTCCAGTGAAGAGTCTCAAACTGGGACGAAACGATTATCCATTACTCCCTGATTTTCACTGAGTCTTCAACTAATATCACTCTGTGATGATCAGACTTGAAAGAGTTCACAGCAGTAGGTTAATAATCAGTGTGCGTAAGCACAAGATGCGATTCATTCGTATAACCGAGGATTAAAATCATATGAAATGAAGAGAATTTTATGTATTACAATGGATAGAAATTTAGGTAGCCTGATGGTTTGAGCAGTCCACTAATATCATTGAGAATGTATAGACAGAAAGAAATCTGTAATAAGAATTAATAGTTATTAAATAAAGTGAGATAAATCAGTGAGTGATAAAAGAAATACCTATCTGCTCATTCAACTATGCATTTACGCTAATACACAAGTGAATTAATAGTAGTTTTAGATATTACTTGTATATGACTGAATTAGGAGCTCGATAGTTTCAACATATTGTCTTTAAGTAAAACAAAAGACAACGTAGCCAGTTGTATATTTAACATCATTCTGAATGTAAATTTAATAACAAAATGGCTAGATGAAATAGTATGCAGACACTTGCATTGGAAACCTACATCAACTAACTGGTCAATATACTCAGTTTCTGAGTTTCATCCCCCTAATATACAAACGAAATCTGGTTAGATGTTTGGTTCACTGTGCTACAGTATCTGTCTGGATGAAATACTCGACGAAATACCCAGTAATATTCACGGTCTACTCAGTAAGAAATATAGCAAAAATATTGATTCAGGCATCTAAAGAAAAAAACAACAAAATAATCGAGCAAAGAATATCCTTTT